GTGTGTAACACCCTTTGCTGTACGATGGGGACCTTTCTTTTAATTTGAGTTCCATGTGACTTCGCCAGGTAACATGTAGGATTTTTAAATTCCAAAACTACACTAACAATTCATATCACCATCCACAGGTAAACAACATTGTATTTAATAAAAAATGATCTTGTCTGATAGACAATACAAGTGTTGTTTTTGAATTGTAGGCTACATCTTCAGAAAGTCTTCAGCCAAAACATAATAGCCTAAACAACAGAATAATAGAACATGACGCAACAGGATTAGGGCTGACCCCGATGAGTTGATGCTTCGATGTGCGGAGCCTGATTCAACTCACAGTCAAAGCTTCACAGCGAAACAAGGATCATGCCATTTTGGTGATATGGGGGTGCTCAACGTCTGATTTTACATAGAACTACCAGTTTTCTCCCAATACGTTAATATACAGCCTATTACAATAAACATGTCAACGTTTAATGCTGTAAATAAACATAAACAACAAAAGAACTTCCAATAAATGTTTTTAAAGTGTGTGAATAAATCCGAAATTGTAACCCTAACCCTGGGTCGTCAATGCGCATGTGTAGGCGTAGCATGAATGTGTGTAGTGGCAGGTGGAACACTTGCTGAAGAGGTGGAGCCACAGCTTCACCAGTGTTTTCCGCTAGTAATGGCAAGTTCGACTCTTTTGACAGACTCGTTCATTAAAATGAACTAATCTTTTTTTTGTGTCATTTCGTTCAGCCCTCTGGTGGGCGATTAAAAAACAGCGCCGTTCCCAAACACTGAAGGCTGCCTGGATTTCTTTAATTGACAAAGTATAATGCACAAATTCACCTCTTGATTACTGTATTACTATATCATCATAATATAAACCCCCTTGGGCCCACAACCAAATTCAAACCATGTAAAAACCAAAGAAATATGTTGTCTATATGCAATGGACTACTCCGGCTAAATCCTTCCATTTTCACAATCTTTCCCGAGGATATAACCAGACCAGCCATATAAAGGCTTATGTATATAATATATATATTATCTCTACCTCTGGACAGAGAAACACACATGAGCACATCGCTCTCAAACACTGCAGGTTGTTCACCAGTCACGAGCTGTGAAACAACAGCACGGCTCTGTTGGTAAATAAAAAGTAAAAGTTACGTTGCGTTCTCTGGCGGACCAGGATCAGCTGTCAGCTGTTTATAGGACTAACGTTAACGTTGCTACGTGGCTGTGTTTTAATGTTTTAATGACCGGGTCTGTTTGTTTTAGAGGGGAGACGGCCTCTGAGGTAATTCAGCTCCCGGTAGAACCCTGTCAGGGCTCTGAAGTGGACCCAGAACAACTCTCATCAGCTTTTAGCTGTAAACACTAGCAGGACTAAAGTTACGGTGCGGACGAGTGAATGTAAGAGTCCAAGATCCTTCACACATGCGTGAAAATGAACGAATTACTCACTGAGACAACCCGTTCCTCCCGAGTCATACACACGATTAGGTTAAATGAACGAAACGTTCTTTGAACGACACTATTGTCCGCATCTTGGATAATTTATCACCATTGATGAACCACACAAAGAATATTGTATCGTTTTTAAATAGCCAGCTACTTGAAATAGACCCGCGAGGAACCGTGACGGGCGTGCAGTTGTCGGCAGCATGGCAAAAACTCTGCACAAGACCGGTGAATGGCAGGCGAGAGAAAGAGAGAGAATGGTCAACAATAAGCCTCAGTTTAGCTTCGGCTCACAATCGCCGTGCACAAAAACACATGATTTCATCAGTCGAAGGCAGACTTGATGATTCTGATTCAACTATGTAAATCCTTAGTCGGGGACAGCCCTAAACGGGGGGATCACATATCAAGCATCAAAGGCATTCATTAAATGCTGTAAAAGCATTTGTTAGTGAAACTTTTCTGTGTCTTATTCTGGGATTTAAAAAGCTTGGCTATCACAGTTTAAACACTTTTAATGGCATTGTTTTCATTTACAGTATATCCAATAAATATTTAATATTTTCCATAATTTGATCTTTAATAAATTGATTAAAGAAAAATAAATGTATGCTTTTTTAAAATTTAGTAAAGTTTTGTGTAGAAGATGTTTTTCAGTGAATTGGCCGCTTCTCTACTTGATGATTTGACTAAACAGCTGAATAATAATTTTGTCTTCTCCTCCTGCAGTTTAAGCAGGTCATTATTTGGAGATTTTATTTCATCAAATACGTCTGTTAGCTGTCAGAAGACGTTCGTTGGTCAGTTTGATCACTTCTCACATGAACGACCTCTAAAACATCTATTATTGATCTATTATTGATGTTTTGCAGAATCTGTGATTTGTTTGTTTGCAGTCTGAAGGACACAAAGAACAGACGCTGCCTGATTACCTGCTGGACTTTATTTTAGATCAAGTCAACTGAGAAATGTATATCTTCATAAAAAATACAGAGCTTCTACTGGTTTAGACAAATTCACCACGTCAATGAAAACATTCAGATGTCATGTTGAAAATACATTGAAAAAGTCCCTGAAAACGTCTGTTTACAGAAAAACACTTATAAAGTTTATACAGTCTGTTACACATCTGTAAAACACAGTCCCTCCATGCTCTTACAGTCAAATTACATAAAAATAGCAAGGGATATTTTCACACAGTGGAAAACAGTAGTCAAACTTTATGTTTACAAACAGGTTAGAAAATGCTTCATAGATTAGAAAGTGCTTTGCAGAAAAATAAAACTTTCTGTCTGCTTCTAAAGAAGCATGTTTAATGTGTTTATGCTGGATTCATTGTTTCCATCTCATGTCTATTATTGATGTTTCAGTTTAGTTATTGTTGGGCCACTTCAAAGAGTCAAAAGTGCTTTGCAGAAGGATGAAATACTTTTGTATAAAAGCAGAAATAACAAAAATACACACAAAAAGAAAATTAATACTTGAATGATGCTTAAAATGTATCTGAAATGTAACCATTATTAATTATTGTAAAACATCTTTTCTGACAGCACATAAACGTCAGATTAAAACAGGATGACTCAAAGTCCTAACGTCACATGTTGGATGTTTGTCTTCTCCTCCAGGCTGCTGCTGGTTTCATTTTTTTTCAGTTTGCAGTGAAATCAACACGCAGAGACTTAAACATGCTGCACACTCTGTGAGTCTTTGTTCACGTTAGTTCCTGTTGGTAAACGCTGCTGTGGATGCAGTTTAGAGCCTGAACTGTTCTCAGAAGACCTCCTTGTTGGTGAAGTCAGGTTTCAGTCTCTGTCAGACTGACTTGTGGTCAGGCCTGGATCAAGGTGCATGCTGGGTAAATAGTTTATGCTTAATGCTCCACTCAGATCTCTCTTCATTTATTTAACCAGGAGAGTCCCATTGAGATTAAGAACCTCTTTCATAACGGTGACCTGGCCAAGACAGGCGTTTTGTCCTGTTTCTGTACGGGTATTTGGCACAAAGAGCATAAAGAAGTCCTGAGAACCCAAAGAGTTTCACGTGTTACTTTTCTGCATTATAAGTACACACAGGTGTCTCGGCAGCAGACCAAGAATTGCCTTATTTATGAAGGTGTACCAGTGACAGAGCCTACAGGTGGCCAGAGGAGGCCATTCTACCCAGAGTACAACTCTTCACAGCTATAATCTGATCCAAAGTCTGTATTTCTAAAGAGCCTCAGCTGGAGCTCCTCTCATGTCTCTTACTGATGTTTCAGTTTAGTTATTGCTGAGTCGTGATGCAGTGGAAACATTTCAGACATGATGCTCACTGTGATGGACGGTCTGACTCAAGTTTCGAGGGGCAACACACTCACATAGAAATGACCGTTACTGTATGACTCAATAAAATATTTACAAATACACACCACTACAGTAAAGTGAGAATAATGATCAGCAGTCAAGTCTGTGTGATTAGTAACTTGGCTAAAAGTAGAGCACACAGATGCTTCAGTGAGAATCAACCTGCAGAAACTTTTACCATGAAGAAGAACTGACAGGAACTTTATATTCATCACGTTGCTTCCTTCAGACATCTTGGACCAGACTGACTCGTGGTCTGGATCCGTTCACACCTGGAGCAGTTGTGGTTGTGGATGTAACTTGGTTTTGATCTTTCTGATAAGCTCAGCGAGGGAACGTCTATCCTGGTCTTGACCTGTGAGACTGACATGAGACAAAATTAAGTGCAAACAACGACTCAGACAAATGATAAGAGGAAATAGATCGATTTTAAAAAACAGAAGCGCAAACTTACTTTCTTTTAACTCGATGAATGAGTGTAGCTACACATCTTTCAGCTGCAGCGACTAGAGCTATTACAGCAGCAATTAACAGAAGTCCACCAGCTACAGCTTCTTGAGTAGTTTTATCGTTCTTCCAGTCATATGATGTGTCTTCTTCCTCCTCCGGCCCTCCTGGTGTTTTTTTACAGCTGCATGCAGATAGAAAACCAGTGTTTGTGTCTGATATCAGGAGCATCAACTCAGCAGTGTTGGACCACCACATCAACAACATTTATACCAATTTAGAGACAATGAGAAACTAAATAAACAATCAGATGATTTAACAGCAACCAGTCACCTAACAGAAGTTACACCTCTTGGCCAGATGGTGACACTGTAGAGAAATTATTTACCAAAAACCTGCTGAACAGTCTGACTATAAGCTGCTTCTGCTTCCTTAGTTTTTCACTGTGTGTCTCAAAATTTCAACTCACTGTCTGTTTGTCCTTCATGTTGATACAGTGTTAAAATCAGTTTGCAGAGATTTGGAAATTGCTTGTTATCTTGTTATAGTGAATTAATCTCAGTAAATATGCTGAGTGTTTGTCAACATGTTATTATCACAGTAACCAGGTGGTGCAGTGGTTTATGTTGCACATTTTGAAGTAGCTACTAAAACAATGTTTTTCCTTTATATCAGATTTGTGCATCACCTTTATGAGGCAACAGTTGGCCTGTGATGCACTATTTCTACATGAGTAACCATGGTAACAGCTCACTGACCCACCTTCAGGTGTGGTGAGGATCACGTCACTGTTCTCTCCATGAGAGGTCACGTTCAAGAGAAACTGTTCTGTGGGTGTAAATCAGGAAATATGTGGAGTCAGACCTCAGTTTTTAACCTCATTTCAGCCACAAACACTTCTATCAAGGAACTGACTGTTAATGGGAAATTATTTTAAATTCAACACGTCAGAAGAGGCTCTGCAAACATTAGTCCATTAACAGATTAGTCGAATCATCAACTATTCTGCCAAATATTTGCTGCTTCCAGCTTCTCATGCAGAGTTGCTGCTTGTCTTTGTGAATAAAATATGTTTTGGTTTTGGACTGTTGGTCAAACAAAACCAGCAGTTTAAGGACGTCACTCTGGGCTCTGGGAAGTCGTGAGGGGAGATATTAACATTTATTTGAAAGATGCTGGAGACATGTCCCCACCACTTTTTGAAAGCATTTGCAAAAGGTTTTCTAAAAAATTAGCTTGCAATAAGAAATGTTAAATAACAAATAGAAATTCTATGAGAAAGGTTTATTTGCACATTAAGAAAACATGAAATGCAGTTTAAAGAAGAAACAGATCTGCCTTGTCCAAAACAGTAACTTAGGCTAAAAAACAAGCTGCTGATTATAATATCAACCCGTTGATAATATTTTTATATTCTGATTGTCACCGGCCACTTGAATTTCGTTTCCCTTAGTATAAATAAAGACATTTCCATCATAAATTACAAAATGTCCCTTTGTTCTCGTGACTCCAATATTGTGCATTATCACGTCTCATGGATTAAGTGTTTCGTCACACCCCTAATATGAGCTCTTAAATGTGCCCATCACTTTTTAACACAAAAAAGGAAAGACTAAAGTTAATTAATCAAGAAAATAAGTGTCAGGTTAAAAGACATAGAGAATTGTTAATCACAATTGCAGCCCGACTAACCAGAGACAGAGGAGGTCAGGCTGATGAGCAGAAATATCCAGATCATCTTCTCCCTGTCAGAGGGGAGACAGTTTTATTAGAGGAAGAAGATACAGGACAGATTTGTGTAGATGTATTTTAGTGAATCCTCATCATGAATAAGTTCTTCCTTTAAGGTTTGTAACAGTAACAGATCAATCAACAAAAAAGGCCACAGTAGAGCATCTGGGTGTTTTAGAAGTCTGTGACATATAGTCTAATCTTCTTCAAGTCTGAATAAAAACATTTAAAAGTAGTTTTATGTGTATTGAACTTCAAAGAGCATGTGGTTGAATATTTTCTCAGTAGACTATTAATTTTTCATGTTTCTGCAAATCGAGTGACAGAATATTAGCCTACTGTAAGTGAAAGTAAACATATGATTTTAATGAGAAGACACGTGACTCTGCCAGCTGTCTGCGCTGCCTGACTTTTTGTTTCAGTTCTGACACAAACGCCAGGGGTGCATTCCCATTGGATAGTGAGTGTTTGAGTGACAGCTCCGATGTTCAGTGCAACGAGCTGTTGCCCTGAAACACTGGAAGGTTTACAGGAAACTGGATTGCCATAAGATTAATAAAGTAAGAAGTCATGCAGCACGAACATGAGAGCTGGCAGCGTCAAAGCAGAGTGAGAGCAGAAGTCTGATCAGTGAGAAAGCAGCAGGGGGCGCTGTAAACAACAGGGCTTCTCATCAAACAAGGAAAAGACCAATAGTTTGTTTGCAATTTATGGGTTTTACTTTTGAGATTATTGTTTTTGCTTCAGTAGGCCTGAGTTTTGACTAAATAAACTCTGATTCCATAGTTTACTGACAGCCCCCCCCCCCCCCACACACACACACACACACATACACACACATACACACTCACACACATACACACAAAACCAAAACGAACTTGTCTTAACGTTATTTTTTTTAAATAAATAATAACGAGAGAGAGAGAGGGAAAGAGCTACTGGACATTGCTCATGTGGTCCAATGTTTGGCCACTTTGAATCGATTTTCTGATCTGCGTCGATGTTAAATTAATAGCCTATGCGCGTCAGTCAGGTGTAAACAAAGATTATATTTTTCAGTTGAACACAATTAAAACAACACAAACTGTAAACAGAAGCTTTTAGTTAGGTCTACTTACGGGTTTAAAGCCATTGAGCAGCAGCTGTCCCACTTTATGTCACCTGAGAGACTTAATCTGTTAAACTGATTTGAATTTACGGTTCAGAGCATGAAGAGGATATTTTTGTTTACAACTCGCATCAGCTGAGTAGGCTACATGGCTCATAGCATACGTGACCTGAAAGAAAGTGAAAGTGAAGGTGAATACGCATCAGATCAAGTTAAACCATGTAAACCTCATCTCCTCAGTTCCTCTGTCCCAACAATCAGGCTCGACTGGAACACAGTCTAGCCTACATGTTTTTATTAAAAATCAAAGTTTGGACCATAACTGAACAACAAAGCTCACTAATGTGGAATTCATTTCACACACGAGAGAAAAATAGGCTACTGATGTGAACAGAAGCTGTCAGACCGTTTGACAGCTGATGTTAACCATAAACAGCAGGTGGAGCTGCTAGGCAGATTTTGTTAGCAGAGCCAAACGTTGCCATTGATATTACCTATCTAGTAGCCTGTTTCAAAACAATATCAGCCTACACATAATGTTGTTTTCAGTGACAACTAGATGTCATAGTGTCTCTGTTAATGCTGTTGTAGATCCCTCAATCAATTGACCAGATGGATATTGAAGATATTTTAGGAGAGAGAGAGAGAGAGAGAGAAAAGCAGGAGAATGGCAGGGCAGCTGATTCTGAGGTCAGTCCTCTGCAGGTCTAAGGAAATGTGGGCTGTTTTGTTTTTTCTAATAATAGACATTTGTTCACAGGTCTAGGCATGATGGCAAAGCCTAAACTAAATTATTTTATGATATCTATTTTCTATATTCTGACTTTCTGCATTTATTTGCTGTAATAAATTAAATAAATAGGCTATGTAGATGCTGCCTAACTGGCTAGGCCATACATAAGCATATACCCACAGATATAGGCTACACAGGAAAATATAATAAAATAAAAGCAATCATACATATATGTATCCATACATATAGTAATTATTATTCCAAATCTTTTATTCCTTCCACCATCAGGTTATTAAATTCAGATGGTAGCCGCTTTAAATAGGATCCTTATCAACAGCTTAGTATGTGTGTTTTTATGCAGTCAAACTATAGAGCAAAATCACACTCTGGTTGAACCAATCTACAGTGCAGTAACAGTAATTAGTGTAATTAAATAGTATTATTTGGACCTGCAACTTATCTAAGAGAAAGAGGAATTAGATATGGTATTACTTCATCACCCATTTACATGAGCAGCTGTTGCATTTAAGTCACAGCCTACAGAAGAACTCAGTCTGGCCTAAGTGAATTCCCCCCATGCGTTGATGCGTGTAAAAGCTAACATTATATGGCCGTCGGAACCATTGTGTGTGGGTGGGTCAAGACCCACCCACTTTTTAAGACCAGTGTTATTGGACCCACTCACTTTTACTGTCTGTAATTCAGTGCATCTGTTTGTTCACCTTTCATAGCGTCGTAAATAAATAAATTAAACTCATTTCTACAGCCGTCACTTTCACGCTGCTGCTTCTTCAAATCCATTCCACTCGGTTCAGTTAGAGTCCATATAAGTTAAACCCCATTCCTTGTTTTTACTGCTCACGCCTGCTGCACTGCCATGACACAGCGAGGTAAACAAAGCATTTTAGCTTACCTGCTGCTCAGGTGTGTCTTTGTGACTTTGTCTTTTTAAGTGAATGTTCATCATTTGCTTACATGATGCTTTTAAAGGCATCATGTAGGCCTAGTCTTTGTTGCAGCATTGAATTACAGCAAAACCTGGACTGGCAACCTGTCCAGGGTGTAGCCTACCCTGCCTTTCGCCCAATGTCAGCTGGGATTGGCTCCAGCCCCCCCGCGACCCTGTACGCAGGATAAGCGGTTGGCGATGGATGAATGGATGGATGGGATTACTCATAGGGATTACTTTTTAAACAGAAACTTTCCTATGAAACAGAAAACAGTTCTATTTGCCGCTGTATATGTTTTTTATATACAGTCTATGGTGTATGTATGTGTTTCTGTAAATACACAAAAATAGGGAGGGACGTGTCGCAGACATTAAGTGACAGCAAACTCTCTTCACAACACTAATGTTTCAGGCAGTAAAGAGGATGTTTTTAAGAACTCTCATCAGCTTAGTACATGACTCATATGGTCATGTAAGCTCAATGTCTATTTGCTGACAAAATGTTATGTTTTTTGTATCTTGCGGAAGGCCATGCTTAGGGCTACATATTATAAGTAGAATAAATAGCTACAATTGACAAATTAATTTGTATTTAATCAAATGCGTTTTTTTAGGGAAAGGCGTTTTTCCACTGAGGTAAAATCACTTGGTGCAAATTACAGATCAAATAAACTACAAGTAGCTGATTAAAAGCAAAATGATTATAGACCCATGTTGTAAAACTCGCCTTACCTTATGTTATTAGCTTTCCTGTAATTTGTTTCTTAGACTTAGTGAGGTTGCTGGAACTTCATTAGCAGAATGGTTAAGGTAAAATACGCACTTGATTAATGTAACTATACTTATGTATAAATATTGAACACAATTAAAAAAATTGACACCTTATTTTAGAAGACAAAAAATTTGATAAACTTATGTCAGAATAGCTTTGACCAAATCAAGTGATGAAACAGGAAATTTTAGTCGAGTGAGACTAGGGACAGCCAGAACAAATGTTGAAGTCTAATTTAAGTCTCCTGAACATGGGACCACGAGCTCAAAGAAAGAAAACTCAGCTATGACTCATAGGATCTCATGATTCTTCTCCTGAATTCTCAGTTTCCTCATAGCGACCTCAGGAGTAAATAACTGATCGGTGTCTTACTCTGATCAAAAGATGAGATCTCTAAATGATCTTAAATAAATCTATTTTAAGTCTCCTTTAAGTAAAAACCTCCATGGTATGTCTCAGGTTGTCTTGGTGACGCCACTTAGGGGTGGAAAATAAAGTTCTTTTACTCAAGTAGTTAAGTCAAATTTTGAGGTACTTGCACTTGAGTATTTTCTTTTGTGGGTGTTTATAGTTTTACTTCCCTTAATTTCAAATCTTTATTGTTGTTATTGTTGATTATCTGTTACAAGTTACTAAGAAGAAGATGAAAATATATTTTGTCATCAAAAATAATGCACTTATTAAATTCCTTTTAGTTCCAATTTGTTAAGGTAGTCACTTAGTTACTATATTTAAAGACAATCAGTTCTTCGCTGTTAATTTTAGCTGGATGGTGCAGTAGCAGTGTCAAACAGCAGGACCGGAGTTCAAATCCATTTCAGGACAAGCCTCCAGCAAAGATCCCCAAGCATAGACTGTAATGCAATACAATCAGGCTCACTAATATCTCCACAGAACTGCTTTTTAGGAGCAATAAGCAAGACATTAATGAACTCAAAAATATACAATGATGAGATCTCATCTGTTATTTCTAGCGGTGTGACGAGACACTTAACCCACAAGACGAGATTCGAGATTGAGTTCACAAGATCGAGATGATATTTTAACACTATTTCTAATCTTATCTAATCTAATCTTAAATGCTGAATTATATGAAAAATATAAGCATTAAAACTTTATTTCCTGCATTCTGGTAAATTTCTGAAAAATTCAGGTGGCAGGTGACAATTCACAATTAATAGCCTAACTGTAACAGAATAAAATGCAGTGCAGTTCTGTGTTCTCTGACATGTCCAGAAAAAAGTCATCACATTATGAAACATTTAATGAGAAATCCACCTGACCTTTACTCTCTAGTGCTGTGCGTTATTGATCCTCTGGCAGTACCGTTATCCCCTTCAGACCGTTTGACCGACGCAGTCACAGTTAACTTCAGCAAGTGCAGCTCGCAGTCCCAAAACAGAGCAAGGTTGCGCTTCAGTTTTTTTGATGTTAATGTTGCTCTATGCTACCACTTGTCACAGGTGTCTGGACTCAACAGTGCAAGTGGGTTCAGTTGATTACTATCAGGGCGTACGCCGGTGTCGCATCAGCTGCGATGATGAGATATTGAGATATTGTTATCTCAATTAAGTATCCATTTGTCTTACCCAAGTCTCAAAAATAATTGCAGATATTTTATGGAAGTAAAGGATAACACGATGAAGGAAAGGGAAAAAGCCAAAAAGCATAATTTGACCTTTATTCAGTAAACCGTATATTGTCGCAAATAATAATAATATGAGCTCTTTAAAGAAAAAGTTACAAAATGAAACTGCACAGTTTAGTTATACATGAAATATAAGGTAGACATGCTTCTCAGTTTGGGTTAATTCTTCACACACTAACACTGGTTATACTCTGCAGGTGATGTCTTTAAAACACATTACATCTGACTTCCACCTCCTACTCGATGAAAGTGGAGGTGATCTCAGAGGACCTGAACACAACTGAGCTTTTCTTGAATGAGCTATCTGATAAATCTCTGGCAAAGTAAATCCCAGGCACACATTTGATTAGCAGCTGCACGACTTCTTTCCAAAACTTTTATCCTACAAAAGCGTATATGATGGGGTACAGGCAGCAGTGAGTGTAGGCAAAGGCCTCGGTCACTGTTACTGACACCATTAAGTGCCCTTCCTTTTTACAATCAAGCAGTAATTTACCTGTAGATTTCAGAAACCACTAGAAAAGGCAAATGTTATATGGACCCCAGAATAAGAAAAAGGCCACAGCTACGGCCATGATCATCTTGTCAACGCGGTGCTTCATTGCACTCCTCATGTTCACTAGCGTGGGGATGATCCTGGAGTAGCAAACTACCATCACCAAGAAGGGAATCACGAGACCCAGTATGTTTATTGCCAAGAGGTTATAAGTCTCCCAGCCATCGTTTTCAGGGAGGTAGGCACAGCGCAGCACGCCAGAGTCGACTTTGTAAAGACAAAAGCCGGTAGAGAGACACTCATGCTCAGCATCCAGGTGAACACAGTCAGAGCGATGCCTTTCCTCAGAGTGCGATATCGTGGTACTGCTTGCGCGTGCATGAGGACGACGTAGCGGTCCAGCGTCATGACAACGATGAAGAAGATGCCGCTGAAGAACCCGATGTTGTGGAAGCCAGCGATGAAGCGGCACATAAAGTCTCCGAAAGTCCATTCACTGACCACAGAGTAGTGACAGTAGAAAGGCAGCGTGAGGACGAACAAGAGGTCAGAGAGAGCCAGGTTGAAAAGGCAGATGTCTGTGAAGTTAGTCTGGTTTCTGTGCTTCACCAGGACACACACCACGAGGCTGTTACCTGAGAGAGGGGGGAAATGTCAAATCTGTAAGAAC